ACACACACACACACACACACACACACACACACACACAGCGCTTCACAAAGAGATGTCCATGGGAAAGCTCACTCATAACCCCACAAAACACAAACATTTTGTCGTCGCTCCGCCCTGCTGTTATGAGCGGCAGAGTAGTGACCCCCAGCCACACTAACTCCATCCCCCCCCAAAGCTAGCCCGGCTCTCAAGTAGCCTTCTGAAATGTCCGTTCTTTCTTGAGCAGCTGCAGCTGGTCAGGACTCAGAGAATGGGGCAGGACAGACAGATGGAGCCTTTGTTAGGAGGCAGGACGTCTCTTCATTTAGCTTTTGTGCCCCTATTATAGGAATTTTTTTTTGTAGAGGTATTATGTAGCTCACCAGTTAGAACTCTTAAAAGAACTCTAATAGCTACAGTCTTTATGAAATAAATTGTTATTCTATTATCAAGTTAGTATATGTGGGATTATGTTATCCCAATTAAACATTCAGCCAACTTTTTTTTCAGCTTTACTTTTTAGATTAAAATACTGACATTGTATGGTTTTCTTGTTGTTTTGGGTTTTCTTTGTTTTCTGGCAGAGTCTTCCTAGGTATCCCTAGTTGGCCTGGAACTCATTATTTACATAAGAGATTGGATCACTTTGGAGATATTTTCTTTCTTTTTTTATAGTTAATCATTCTTAATTAACAATTTCCCTTTCGTGAATTTGTGAATTTTCTTTTTTTTCTATTTAATGCTGAATGCCGTTTTTTGAAGGAGGGAAAAGGTCTTAAATACAGGCTTACAGCTCAGTGGGAGAACCCTGGAGGGCAGAAGTTCGCTACTGATGTTTTACAATCTTACATCTAAACTGTTAATGCCCATTATGCAGGATACACAGACAAGGAACTTCCCTTAAGCATTCAGGAGGGTGGAACCTGGCAGGGAATTAGATATTTTCTAGCTTTAAAAAACAACATATCCTTTAAAAATATTGTTTTTTAATTTTGAGAATTATACATGAGTGCTGTATTTACATCATTTCCCTCTTTCTTTTGTTCTAACTTCTCCCATGTCCACCCCTCATTCCCTCTCTTTTT